TAAGATCTGTGTTCAAATTCTCATTTAGAATTAACAGCATATTTTTAGCTTTTGATTTTTAGGAGTGTTGATACATGAAAGTTATGGCTGTACTATTGATAAACATTTTTCTGTAATCATAAGAATAATTATTAATTTAATAAAATGCCGCATGCTGTAATATGTTGAATTAGTTTTTAAAAATATACATCATAATAACACTGGAAAAATATAAGCATGAAAAACAACGTGATAATTTCAATTTTGGCTGTTTCTGATGATTTCTCTCTCTCTCTCTTTTTTCCCTTGTATTTTTTTTTTGTGTGTGTGTATAGCTGCCAGAAAGTGTTGAACATGTGGTGAGTTCTCAAGTGTAGGCAGGCAGAAATAGCTCCGTTGACTGTGATTTCAAAGATTTAGCACCATTTTGTGTTTTTTGAAAACAAACCTCTTAACATAGCAATCATAATTCGTGGAAGTTATTCAAAAGTATTTGGTATAATTAATATAGCCCTGAAAAGGAAGAAAAAATTATTTGAGGAGCTCTTTTGCCTGCTGCAACTTTTTTGCTTCAAGTGACAGATTTGGGGCCACTCTTTAATTGCCAACCCTGCTTGTGCTTGTGCATTCATTTTGTAACATAGTTGTTATTTGTTATTTTAAAGAGAAAGATAGGTTTTTGACTTAAGCTTTCTTTTTTCCTGTTTGTAATTATTAAACACATATAGCAGATCTTCTCCTCCCTGAAGAGTGTCACTAAAACAGTATTTCATTTACTAACCAATTATCATTGCTTTGAATATAATATTCATAAATTTTATGATAAACATAGTGAGAGAGTAATTTAAAAAATCCTCATCTGAATAGTTCCTGGTAATTACAGATATTATGAAAAATAATATTAGTAGAATTAATTCCAACATATTAAATTAATTCTGACATTTGCCTTTAGTTGTAATATGTTTACAGTGCTTCTCTCAGTTTCAAGACAAAGTTTGAGTCAGCCTTGGTGTGAATAAAGAAAGTTGCTCAGATCAGTAAATTTTGAAGCATTTTATTCATATCCAAAAGGCAACTTATGTAATTTTTAAATCAATGCTCATTTGCTGGCTGCGAAATGAGGAAACTTTCACAGATATTTCTTTTTAAAGAGCAGTGATCAAATATCCATTTTAATTAGTTTTGACTACAGAATTTATTGACAGCGTGACTATATTTAGTGTATTTCAAGATATTATTAGCTATATACTTGTGTGTTTTTAAATAAAAAATAAAAACAATGGCTTATATTTATGAATTTTAGGTACAGTAGTAAGCACAGTTATGAAAGGAGAGTGGCAGTGTGGCAGATTCGAATGCACATGTCCTTTGCAGTTAAGCATAGGTTATAAAATCCTATTTCTGCCACTTATTTGTTAACCTTCAAGAGAGCTTGTTTCTTTTTCCTTAAAATGAGGCTAATAATATCTACCTCATAGGTTGTTGAGGAAATTAAATGTGATAAAGCTCTGGTATTTCGTCTGGCACATGGCAGGTATTCAGTAGCTATTATCACCCCTATTTACTTCTCCTCTTCCAGCTGCCAGTGACCTTTCTCATCTGTGTTCTTCCTGGGCTTGTGCTTCTTCCATCCAGTGTCCCATGTTTTCACTTCCATACCCACCACACTCTTCATCGAAACTGGCTTTTCTGTGTTCACATCCTCCTAGAGACTTGTTTTTAATCGAATCTATTATATTATATTTATCTGTTTATTCATTCGATTGCACTGCCGAGATTTCAGAAATACCCGACAGTGTCCTTGCACTTAAGCAGATTATAGACTAGCAGAGAAGATTGCAATTGCGTTACCAAATGTCAGGATATGATTAATACTATGAAAAAGGTATAAAAATTGCTTAGAGTTTATAAAGAAAAAGATTACTTCCTGACCTGGATGATCAGAGAATGCTGTATGGGGATGGCTTTGAAGAATGGCATAGTAATTTATTTAGTTGGGATGAATATGAATGTGGGTGTTTATGGCTTTGGGTCTCTATCGGTAGGCATTGGAAGATGAGAAGGAAGAAATGGTGGGAAGGCTATTCCTGAAGGAAACATTCTTCATTGCTTAGAACAGCATGTCCAGATACTTGGCATGGCACCAAGTTCTTCATACCTTTCATATGATACGATAGACCCCCGCCTATCTTCCCAGCCCCATTTTCCATTCTGAACCCTGTATTCCATTGGTTCCTTAAGTCTGCCTTTGTTATATTATTCTCTTTATGTATTTCCTACTTCTTGAAACTTCTTGAATATCTTGAAAACAAGGCCTTTTTCATCATCAGATCCTCAGTAGCTAAAACATTATGCCTCAATAAATTATTACTAAATAATGTGGTATACCCATACAATGAATATTTGACAATATAAAGAAATGTAATTGAAGAGATTATGCTAAGTGAAACAAGTCAGACACAAAAGATCACATATTTTGTGATTCCATTTAAATGAAATGTCCAGAATAGGCAAATACTTAGGCACAGAAAAAAGATTAGTGATTGCCTAGGGCAGGGAAGAGGCAATTAGGACTGATAGCTAATAGACAATGGGGTTTCATTATGGGGTGATGAAAATGTTTTAAAATTAGTGGTGATAACTGCACAACTCTGTGAATATACTAAAAACCACTGAATTATACACTGTCAAAGAGTGAATTTTATGATATGTGAATTATATTTTAATAAAATGATTGTTAACAAAAAGAGAAAAGACAGCAACCCATGAGATTAGTGAAGCTTTAGTCCAGGAGGATTCAATACATCAGAACTTTCCTACTTCTTCTCTAGTTAAGAACTCTTTAAACACACAAGGCTTTGTATTTCCTTCAATTAGGTTTATTCTGACCTTTCTGCAAGTTTATTATTGTGTTCCTCATATCTTCTCAGTCTGTGACTAAGAAACGTGTGAGCATGATTTCTTTTTCTTTTCTCTTTTCTTAGAGATGGGGTCTTGCAATGTTACCCAGGCTGGCTTTGAACTACTGGGCTAAAGTGATTTTTCCACCTCAGACTCCTCAGTAGCTAGGACTATAGGCATGCGAGCCACTCTGGTGGCTTTTTCTAAATTGCATCTTCTCTTCTTTTTTCTCTGCTACCATTTTACAGGTAGTTAGGGACCTGCTTAGAATTTCTGTTTCAGAATCTGTTTCTTTTCTATCTTTCTTCTTACCTATGATTGGCAGAGATTCCTCTCACCCCATCCCATCAAGTAGAATGTATTCTGTGATGGACATTTTAGCATCTTCAGGTTCCCCAGAGTAGTACCTCATTGGGGTAAATATATGATTTCCAAATGATGGAAAGTATTCTGTTACTCCACATAAAATGACTCCTTCATTAGTAATTAGATTTTGCCTTACTTGTTTACTGTAATTGAGAATTTTAAGACAGGTGGTACAAATGATAGCATACTCATCATTCCTTTCAGGAATTTAAGATCACAATGTTTCCTTTAATACCATTATTTACTTTTTAAATGTTAATAATATGAAACCATCTTTCTCTTTCTCTCTCTGTCCCTCTCTCCCTCTCTTTCTTTCTCTCTACCTCCCTCTCCTCTCCCTATCCCTCCCCTGCGCCCCCACCCTTTCCTCTTCCAGCATTTACTGAATAGATTATTGTTTGTTTGCCAATATGGTAATGATGAAGATATATGAAGGCTTGTATATTAATACCATTAGGGAGGGTGGAAAGTACACCAATGACTTTTATACAGTGGTTCTCAACCCTCACTTCACATTACAGTCACCTGAAGAGTTTTAGAAATCTACTGATACTTAGGCTGTACTTTCAAAATTTCTGATTTAATAGTTGCTTTATGGTGGAGTCTGGTTATCAGTATTTTTTAAAAGCTTCCAAGGTGATTCTAAGGAGAATAAAGGTTGAGGACCGTTGGTCTAATACAAGGTATTGTAGGATTAGCACTGTAGGAGAAGGATACAATGTTATTGGAGTTCAGAGAATGGAATATGTACCTCCAGCTGGGAAGATCAGTGAAGTCTTCATGGGTAAAGATACATTTGCACTAGTTCCCAAAGATGAGTATGATTTGGCAGGGGAGATGGGTAGAAGGAGTCAGAGAGAAGAAAGAGGTTGAGCTCCAACGATGAGCAAGGAAAAATGGAACCAGTCAGAGGAATAACCCATGTGGGTATAGAGTATGTGAATACATTAATGGAAGCTTAGATCGTCTAAGTTCCCAATCTAAAAGGGCCTTCATAGACAGGTAAAGAAATTTGAACACTGTCTTTCTCTACAAGAAAGCAAGCCAAGAAACAATCTGTGATTTTAAGTGAAGAAATGATATGATCAAGTTGAGCCTTAGAAAAATTAATGTGGCAGCAGTTATGAGGCTTATGCTACTTCCTGGAGTTCATCAGATTGCAGAAAATGGTTCAAAAATATAACTTAAGTTTTCCTATGGAACTAGATGGAGAGTTTATTTTGGGTCAGGAGTTTCTAGTGATTAAACTGTTGTTTAAAAAAAGGCTTTAAGATGACTGTCTTGGATCATTCATTTAGTTTCTACTAAGTGTTCAGGACTTCCATAGTCTCTAGAACTATAACGATGGAAAAAACATAATATATTTCCTCAAGAGATAGTTCAGTGAAGAAGAGAGAGGCATAAAAATTATAATATGAGGTGATAGAGAATGTACAATTTTGGGGGCAGAGGGTAAATAAATTATAGGCGGAAGGAGGAATATGTGCAAAGATAAGGAGGCACAGAAGACCATGTGGTGTGTTCTAGGAATGGCAGGTAGAGCTTTTCTTTCTCTTTTCTTTTCTTTTCCTTTTTTCTTTTTTCTTTTATTCTCTTTTCCTGTCTTTTCTTTTTCTTCTCCCTCCCTCTCTCTCTCTCTCTCTCTCTGCCTCCCCTGCTCTTTTATTTTTTTTTGTCTGTAGTTTAGGCTGCTTGGGAAGGAATCCTAATGGAAGGAGGATAAGACTGAGAGGAGAATGGAAATAGGAACCACGTTTTGAAGAGCTGTGAGAACCATTGATGAGATTTAAGAGGGAAAGGGCATAGCCTATTTATGCTGGGGCAATTTGGATGGCAGATTGGAGTGAGGAGAGACTTAGACCGGGAAGTCAGTTAAAAGGCTCTTAGCAATGGTGGAGGCAAGTCAAAAAGTTCTGAATTAAGCCAGCATGAGAACATGGGAAATTTTTGGAAGTCATTTCAGACTTAAGGGACTAACTGCATATAGATGGAGAAGAAGAAATTAGAGATGAAGATGGGTCTGCAGGTTTTTAGTTGTAGTAGTTATGTGAATGGATGGTCTTGTTCTCTGATCTAAACTCTTGCTGCTCAACTAAATAGTTCCTCATTTTTTAAATCAAGAGATCCAGAGATAAGAAATTACATTTCAGGTATAAATTTTAAGGGGAAAAATCCTTTGTCAAAGAATTAAAGATTAGATGTCATCATCAACCCAGGTCACGAGAGGCTAGGTTCTGGAGTCCTAAGTGGGCAGGATCTAGAGGTACCAGAAGTCTCTCAACCAAAGGATGAGCCAATGAGTCATTGTAGAAAGGATAAATAAGAACTTCATATCTAGACAGGGAAACAGGCTTCAGTTTCTGGGTGGATTTGAGAAAAGGAAGTAAGTATATGACATAAATCTGGGAAGACAAGGCAAATTCTAGATGAAGAAAAAGGCAATGAATAAAGTAGAAATGGTGGTGCAGTGTCAATAGCAAATCCTTGACCCTTACCGTGTATGTTTTCTGCATAGTTCAGAACTTTGATCTATTCTGATTTCTTGTTTCCTGAACAGCCTTATAGTTCATCAGAAGCTGTACTTAACATTTATTCTGAAAGGATTTTGTATTAGAGATGTAGCTTCAAAGCTTTAGGCTAGCTACTGAATGATCATGTCACAGTAATGACCCTGACTTGTGAGAGCATGTTGGCTTACTGGAACCACGTAAGGAATAATAAAAAGCCAAAAAAAAAAAAAAAAAAAGAAGCCTTGACAAGAACATGGTTCAAATGTTTGTCTGGTAAGCTTAGTAAGTTTCCCCAGGGTAGATGCCAATAGTCTAGATCTGAAGAGACCTCAAATGAATATGAACCAATGTGTAAGAAAATACAGCCATGGGGCAGCAAAGAGAGGAAATGTATTCAGAATTTTATAGATGTGGATAATTTTTTAAGACCAAATAATCAAATTTATTGATAAAAATAACTTGCTGACATTGTCTGAGAGAACTGCTGTATGTTCTAATTCCTGACGTTCTTGCTATTATTTTCAGTAGTTATGGTCAATAACTGGTGTTTTCTTTTTTCCTTTCAACTGTACCAAACTGTGAAATTACATGGTCTCTATTTATGCTTTTGCCTGCACTCATATGAATTGAAGGCATGGGTCCACTTTACCTGCAGTGCTCAGCTCATAGCATCCAGGACTGAGGCTCCACTGGAAATGGAAAAACAGGAGGGTGGTCCAGCAGTTACATCTAGAGAGTAATGTTTCTTGACCTTGGGGTTCAGACTCCTTTTAGAATCTGATATAAACCATTTTTCTACAGAAAAGCCTCACATGGGCACTAAAATCTTTATTTTATGAGGTTTCACTAGGATTTGTGACCCATGGATAAGAACTCTAGCTTTGGAATATGCTCTAGCATTTTGACTATGCTCTTACTCCAGGAGTTAGTTGCATTTATGAGACAAATCACTCATTTATTCAATAGATATTAAATGAGTACCAACTTTATACCAGTTTGTTGGCATATATCATCTGTGAGCAAGCTTCATAACAAGCTTAAATTCTAATGGGAAGGCAGATAATAAGTAAACAAAAGAATTTCCAAGTAGTAGTTAGTAATTACAGTGAAATAAAACAATAATGTGATAGAGTGGCTACATGGCAGTAACACTGTTTCAGATTAAGTGCTAGAGATGGGAGACAATTGAAGTGAGACCTGATTTCTTAATTACCAAGACTATAAATGAGATATTTTGATAATGACTTCTATCTTAATAAATAAACCATAAGGTTCAAATATCAATTCACCTCTTGACTTCTGTAAGTAATACCATATTTCGAGAGCATCTCTGTTGTCTTTGTATTTGGATACATTCATATCACATAAAGCAATGCTACCCTCTGGTGGTAGTCATTTTAATAGCATACCAACTGTTTTGCAAATGTGTTAGCGGGATTTATTTCTGAAAAATAGATGTCTTTTTTAGATTGTGTTTGAATTTAAAGGGGCTATACCATTAGACTTCATCTGAAAATCTTATGTGCTCCCAGATAAATGCCTGGCATAGATTTCTATGTTCAGTAATACTTATGCTGTTGAAGGAATAGTTACTTAAATGGGAAGAACTTGACTCAGAACAGAAAGCAATCCTGGAAAAATAAACTAGGCAAGATGAATTGCTAATACAAGTGTGGAAATTTTGGGACTTGGCTTGTTTATTAAAACATGTATTAAATTTCCCATTCAAAAGGGCTTATATAACTTAAAACACCTTTTTAGTAGAAAATTTTTGAAAGAATGTATTTAGGAACAGTATTTAGGAAAGTATTTAGGAACAGAGAACATTATTAAAAGAACTTTATATTAAACAGTTAATGAATTTCTATTGAAATATTACCAGATTCTTAAACTAAATATTTTAAATATTTGTCTGTTTCTTCTACATACCTATTTTTTCATGTTTTGCTTTCTACCATATAGACATTTTCTGATTCTTTTCTAAGTCTTTAATTGAAAGATTCATTTTGGAGTAATGTTGTTTATATTTTATAGAGTAATTTGGTTTAGGTAATGTGTTTTGCTTTTGTATTTTGGAAAATTTATATAACTGAGATTTGAGAAAGTATTAGCTGACAGTTAAAAATAAATTTGACTTATTTTTCTAAATCCAGGAAAAATCTATTACACCTAGGGTCTTATTTTACCATGGCAGTGCTTCTCTGGGCCCTTGACTGGGTAATTTATTTTAGTTCTTTACAGTAGTTTACCTCCATAAGAGTAAAATTTATAATGATTCATAATTGTACATATTTCTAGTTGAATCTTTATCAGCTGATACACAATTTTGAATTATTCACAGTTCATGGTCTAGTCATTGTGTACTATTTGGTGCACTTAAAAAACACAATTGTATAATTTGGTTTTTAGTGCCCACATAGTGAGTTCATAATCATGGCATAAATCATAATAATGATATGAAATTATTTTTGACTAAAGATAATGTGGGTAGAGAGTTTGTGTAATTTAACTGGACAGTATGGATTTCTGTTTACATTTATCTTACAGTAATATACAAAACATATCTAAAGTTATTTCATCTTCCATAATCTTTTGATGGATAGGAAACTTGAAGCAACATGACAACAGGGTCCCTATTATGCTTAGCTTGCAAATGTTGAGTTAATATTCTTTTATGAATGTGGGTTGATACGAATTATAGGAACATCTTTATAAGGTCATATTATGCACAGTCTTTGAATTGGCAGCTTTTGTTGGTGAAATCGTGTATGTAAATATGGCTTGAATTACAAAATAATATTTATAAACACACACACACACACACACACACACACACTCTCTGGACTTCAATGATGGAAAATTTAGGGATAGCCAAGAGATAGTCAACTGTGCTTGCCTATGCCAAAAGTAAACTCAATCCTAGGAATTAGAAAGTTTTTTTAAAAAAAGACACCTCACTATATGTAGTGCCTGTCATTTTGTATGTTCTGATAGATTGAGTTTCTTTCAAGTGTGGAAGGAAAAAAATGCTATACCTTTTAGCTTGAAGCCATACCTTCATACATTTATTTGAAGGAATGCCAGGCTTTTAAGGTGTGTGTATGTTTGTATTGTTTTTTTGGGGGGGATTAGGAACTGATTAGTGATTCTCATTTTCAGTTCATACAATCCCAGCCTTGTTCTACAGCAGCCATGATATGTTACATCTTCTTGTGACTAGGATAATTTCTTGTGAGAGAAATTAGTTTTCTCAGGGATCACGGGTAGATTTTTTCACCTAAGAATCAAAATCAGACCTTAATTGTTTTAAATACGTAGTTTTGAATTACAAAACTAAATCACCTTGATTGTGCTATTTTAAATGTTAAGCATAATTTTTACCTTAACTAAAATAACTTACAATAAGCTTGACTCTTCTTTAACTCTTAAAGAATTAAAAAGTGCCATTCTTGACATTCTATTTAGTGTATTTTCTCTTTTCCAGTTTGTAAATATGATGGAAAATGTTTGTTGACTAGTGTATATCGGATTTTTCCTTTTTCTTTTGGAATCTAAACTGATTCTTGGTGAAAATAAAATTTCCAACGTTAGGATCATTATTGCCTTTTTAATAAGGGCCTCAACAATCATACATAAAATCAGTGAGAAAGGGAGAGAATGTGTAGGATGAATATAAAAGCACACCACTGTCAGAAATTATCAAGCATCCTAAGTAAAAATGGTGGGTCAGTTGGGATTCAGAACTCTTTAGCTTCTCAATTAGTCTTGGTGCAAACCCTTTTGAATTTAGTGGCTCTTTTTTGTGTTGCATACAATGTCTTGCTATTCCTAAAAGGCATGTTGATGAAACATAATATAATAGCTCTGTCTCAGTTTCACTAATATATATGCTTCATTGGTGTATTCACTGTTCATCTTGCACCAGCATGTTGCTTTTTATGACCGTTTAAGTTAATGTGATAGATTCAACTTTACTTTGTAACTTTTTAGTACTTTTATAGTAAAAAGAGTATTTTCCTTATCTGCAGGTGCTGCTGTTTTTTCAAACGAAGGAAAAGGAAAACCATACAGCGCCACAAATGACTCTGGACGCAGACAGATCCTAGGGAGTTACTTACGCGTTCATGTGCTGTCTTGTGATTAAATCATCTCTGTAGTGACCACATATATTTTCAAGGACTCACTATTAGAAACAAAAATGTCATACTTTCATACTTCATTTTGTGGTTGTCTCACATTCATATTTTTTTCTAATTTAACTTTTATGGAAGCTTTAAAGTTTTGTCAAAACATGAGTACTTTGCCCATCGATGAATGGAATGGACCAGTAAGGTGGTATTGATGAATACAGTTCTATAGAACATTTTTTAGCAGCTCTTCTCCTATTGTAGAAAGCAGTACAGTATCTTAAATGTCAACCAGTTATATGCCCAATTTGGTTTTTTATAACTTCTGTAAGAGCATAATCAAACAGGAATTTTTTTCCCCAGCAGATAATGCCACAGAGAAAACAGCATTGCTCAAATGTTTAAAAGAAGTTATTCCTTGAGAAGTTCATATTTTGTGACATCTGCATTGATTTCAGTATTACCGATGGTACTGTTATTCATGAGTCATATTAACATTCTCTCTGTGAAATCGTGGTATAGTCACCGCCCAGAGGTACTGAGGAAAAAGCTTTGTGGGTTTGGCGGATGGTAGTGGTAAAATGAATCGTCAGTAGTGCGGTAAATATGAGCTCTGCTTTTGTTGTACCACTGTGTGAAGTACCGTGATGCAGAATTGGCAAAAGTGCTTATTTTTAAAAATGCAAAATATTTGTATAATGTAACTTTATGCTTCCAGATAATAATGTATGTTAGACAGCAAGAAATGAATACTTTAAGAAGTGATATATGTTGGAGTTTTAAAGAAATACACTAAGGAGAAGAAATAAATGTGAAACTTGTTGCAATGTAAAAGGTTGAAGCCTAAGGAGATCCCACTGAAACCTACTGCTGAATGGTTACATTCTCCCTTAAGCAGAAAACTTTGGATGTGCCATGCAATGGTGTCTGTTTTTATTAATTATTTTGCTCTTTGATAAAAAAATAACCCCAGCAATAAAAACTGGGTTACTCTCTTGCCTATGTGAGCATTAGTCTCTTGTATTCAACTTTGCTGTTTCTCTGGAATTTTCCTACTCTTTAGCATAATTTTGATGATTGAAAAATATTTTGGAGAGGATGGGTCAGGTGCTTTGCCTCCATAGTCTTTTGAAGTGCCTGCATATGAACAAAGAAACAATTCTGTAAAAAAAGGAAGCCCATTCCACTTTTCAAATATGCTTTGTTTTAAGCCATAAAGACACAGATGTACTTTTGTCACATTCTACTAGCCAGAATTTTTAAGAGGGATTAAAACAAACAAACTGTCCACAAAGATAATTATGCTGAACAAATCTCATATTCACTTTTCATTTCTAAAATTGTTACTTACTCCTTCCATGCAGTCTTTTCTTTGTTTTTAAGTGCGTGCCTCCAGGCATGCTTATTTATTTTTATTATCTCAAGGTAACATTTAAAATGTGTGTTGAAGTAAATAAATCCACATTTTTTAAACTTCATTATTGCATTTACAGGGATTTAATTGTATTTTATAATTTATTTTTCTTATTAGCCAAAAGTTTAATGCATTGTTTTTGATGAATTAGGCACCCATATGAGCACCACAGATCAGGACGTTGTTTATCATTGTTGCTTTGAATCCTGTGAATGATCTTGATTTTAAAGATTTACACTCAGCTTAGGAAACATTTGCTGTATAATTTGTTCAATAGTTTCCATTCTATTTGTATACTGTCATGATGTCTTAAACTACAGGAATTACCTGCCGAGTTTTTATTTTTGTTTGCTTTGAGTAAGGTAGATGGATGTTTTGGCCATCATAATGTGAAACCACTTCTTTCTTTACAGTATTTGACCAAATTTGTGTGTCTATGATATTTGTAAATACATGCGATATCTGTATTTCTTATCATAAGTCTATTTAGTTTTATTCTCAGTAGGGTTTTTTGGATTGTACAGTGTTTATATGATCTGAACTCCTTATACATAAGAAGGTGTGTATATTAATCCAATTATGGACTTAAAATATTTTAAAAGTATAAGTACCCTTATTTGCTGCAAAGACCAGTGTGTAGACATTTGCTTTTTAGCAATATTTTTAAGTGCTCCATTTTAATGCCAAGGAATAAGTCTTTTGGCAACACAAACTGGTCAATAATAGGTAATGCAGGTATGTTCAGGTTAAGCCAACAATGTTTTGCATTTTTATGCTTCTTTTCTGTCAACACTAATGAAGTCAACATTGCCTGAATGTCTGAATAATGAAACACATCCCTGTTTAAAACTATGTAACTGAAAAAGAAAAAATAAAGGTAGTTTTTTTAAACTTGCTCTTTCCCATTTCCTCTAATCATGGGTGAAATAATGCCACTCACTAATTTAAGATAGAAATTTTAAAAATTCAATTCATTTAGTCTATTATAAGTAAGAGGCAGAATTAAAGGAATATGCTTTTGTTATTTTGTTTGTTTTATTTTGCTTTGGTCAAACCTAGTTGTAAAGAGCACATACTAGGAAGGACATAAGCTTTATTTAATGTCTTAAATTTTTTTTTAAACTTCTTTTAACTGGTTGATAGAGCAATTAATTAAAACTAATGTCTTCTGATAAGGGAAATAAACAGTCATTTTATTCTTTTTTGAAAATGAAATGATACTATTATGTTTACAGAAAGTAAGCATTATTAATACAATTTTAGGTTAAGGACTTAAAAATCTTCGCAAATGTAGAGTATATATTTGTGACAGCAACTCACAGTTTATCGTTGTGCTTTAAGGGGTTTTACAGAATGGCATTAATGGTGCTCTACTAACTAAAGGATGCTGCAGGTAAGATAAGGCAAAGCAGGACACATTCAGCACATGAATAATGTGTCCGTTAAGCACCAGATTCAGAAGAGGAGAAAGATCCAGAGAAACACATAAGTAATAAAAGGCCCTATCTAGAAAAATCCAATTTAAGATCGAGGTTCTAATCTGAATGATTATATAGTTGCAGTAGTCAGTAGAAACTTTATCTGGCTGGAGCAATAGAAGTGTATATGATCTCATTTAACTGAAAATTCCAGTGGTAGGACTAGCTTCAGATGTGCTTAATCTTAGCGTTAAGACAGAAAACTGTCTTTCTCGGAAGTTTTGCTTTCCATTCTGCTGTTTTCACTATTAGGTAGACTTTCCATGTGTGATGGTTAAGTGGCCACTAGCAGCTTGAGATTTCTTCTCTACCATCTTAGTAACCTCAGCAAAAACAAAGGCTGTTTTTCTCAACAGTTCCAACAAAATCCTAAGACAGACAGGCATTCCCTCATTGGTTCACATGCCCAACCCTGAGCCAGTTTCTATGTGCAGAGGAATGTTGTTCTGCCAATAGCTGAGCCTGAGTCATGAGTTGACCTTCAGAAGACACTTTGGACTGAGAAATAAGGTAGAAGGGGTATTACCCAAAAGGAAATTAAGATATTGTTATCAAATAAGAATGAATAGTTACTGAGCAGGCAAAATCAACAGATATGTACTATCATGCTGAAAGAAACAAAATATAGCATAAAACCAGACTCAAACCACTTGTTTTAAATTAGAAAACATTATTATTGGGAATTTTAGAAATCTGAATATATTATTAGAAATCACTTTTATAGTGAATGAATACATTTGGAAAATGTTTTGGACTCAGGTAAAAAGGCAGGTTACTAGTACCTCATTTGGTATGTTTTTGTTTCTGTTTAGCTTTTCAGGGTGTTAGTGATAAAATTCGGTTAGAAGAGTTAAAAACTATTTTTTCTACTAAAGTGCAAATAAACAGAATTATCAAGCTTGGCTGATGTTCAGGATACCTAGTTTCTTTTCTGCGCGGCCCTAATACAGACCTATGTAAGTTATTTTCTTAGATAATTTATTTCTTCTTAAGACTACATGGATCATAACCAAAGAAAGGACTATATATAGAAGTACTGTAAGGTAACGTTATTGGGGTATGAAAATGGTTTTGTTAGAAAAAACAATTATTCTTTGGGATATTTACCATACTATGATTTTACTTAAATGGACAATCACTCTGACATGTTTCTAGACTAGAGGTTGGCAAATTTTTTTTGTAAAGTTTGGGTTTTATGGGTGAAGAGGCAAAATTGAAACTATTATATACTTATATAATGAGAAAGAAAACAAACTTCCACATGTTTTATTGATAAAATTCCAAATACATTAACACTTGAATACAATTTTTTTGTAATACAGGTGTACTAATAAGAATTGAATTATTTTGAGAAGGCAGTATTTCACTAAATTTGGATTTAAAATCAATTGCAGTTATTCGTCTGTTAATGCAGATCTGTAATGTAATCTTTTGTATTTCATCTTTGAAAATGTCATTTCACACAGATACTACATACTGTTATTAGTCCTTGAGTGTGTGATTTTAATTGAACATATCATCATTTGGAAGGTATTTATAGAATTCTGTTAGCTTCTGATTCTGCTCTTGATATTTTTGCCTTTTAGCATATCATTATGTTGCAGATTAATCACTTGTTTTGAAGGTTAGGTGGCTGTTCAATTGTATGTTTAAATTGATATTGAAAAATGAAACTTTCCTTTGCACTTGTATTGAGGATCAAAAATGCAGCCGGAACTGTAGCTGAATTTGGAAAATATATCCACTGCAAATTTGTGTGAGACTGGAGATCTTGTTTTAACTTGACAGCATGGGAAGTGTATAAAACAGCTTGACATTACTTCTGATTTAAACATTATCATCAAAATGGCCCTGTTATGGTGTAAGTTTCACATGTCAGTGCTGTTCTGCCTTGTAATTTTAGGTTGAATTTATTAAGAAACATTATCAAGTCTGCAGCAAAAGCTAATTTTCAAAGCTATTCAGTGTCTGATAAAAATAGTTGAGGGTGATTCTTCTCATTCTTACAATTTCGGTCTTGGGTCTGAGCTCAAAAAATTGCAATAAAAATTTACCACTGCCATCAAACTGCTATGTAGTTGGGAGAGTCAGAATATTCAACTTCTATTTCTGACAAAACTTAATGGAACTGATGATTATTAGGATCACAAGTGCATGAAATTCACCATTGACTTTACTAGTTCAGTAATATAGTAGATTCAGATTTTTCCATAAAATACCTGCTGATGAATAATAACAATGTATAACCATTGACTTTAAACATCTGACATTTTCACAAGCTTTGTGAATGTGTCCAACTTTACTTTTTTTCTGCTCCACATGTATTTTTACCACCATCAATTGCAACACATCTTAGCAGATTCCACTTCAGGTTGTACTGAATTGATGTTTTCTCAACTTCTTTGAAAATATTCTTTTCCTGTAGTTGTTTGATGCAGACTATCCATAAAGGCTATTTCTTGAGGAACTTCACAGTCAGCATTGACTTCTCTTCTCATGTGACCAACAACTGGACAGTATTGGTAACATTTGTTGGCTCACCAAAAGCCAAGAAAAAGTACTTGAAATTATTGCCTTGTTTTTTAATTGACTGTTGGTGTTGCCTCAATGTCCTCATGTCTTCAAGCAATGGCTCTTGCTGAAAAGCTAGTAGGCATAAACAAGTTTATTTTCACTGCACACACTTTCTTGTTGCTACAATCAAACACAACTTAATTAACTCTAACTCACCATCAGCAAATAGTTTTCTTTGCTTAGTTAACAAATGAGCCAATCAGAAAGTTACTTTGATTGCATCCTTATCTTCAGTTTTGTTGTTAATAAATTCTTATGTAATTAGATATTATGTTTTAAGTTTTCTAATTGCTCTTGACTGTTGTTTTCTTGTGAGTTGGTAATATTGTGATGAATACTTAGTCTGAAAATACGTTCTTTTAGCACAGCTAAAGTGTCATTGCATAATAAACACAATGCTTTGTTCTATAGTTGTATAATGAAATAATCCACACTCCACTGTGCCTTAAAAGCGCAACACTCAAAGTTCACTTTTTTAAAACTTTTTTTGACATGATGAATATGCACTAGTAAAAAATAATGTATGACAATATGTGTGACACTTGAAATGCTGTCGAATTATAACAATCACTGAGATTTGTAGTGTGTTGAACAGCAGTGTGAAGCAATGAAAGCGCCACATATGGTCTCTGTCACAACTATTCAACTCTGCCTTTGTAGCATGAAAGCAGCCATAGACAATATGTAAATGAATGAGCATGGCTGTGTTCCAATAAAATTTTATTTATGGACACTGAAATTTGAATTTCATATAATTTTTATGTGTCATGAAATATTCTTTTGATTTTTTTCAACCATTTAAGAATGTAAACACTATTCTTAGTTTGTGGGCTGAACAAAAATAGGATGTGGGCTGAATTTGGCCGGTAAACCATAATTTCCCAACCTCTGTTCTGTACAACACTGAAAAGATTGGGATGTTTGAAGTGAATTAATTTATATCTAATTGAATGAAACTGCTTACCAGAAGATGACATTTCTTCCCTTTATAAAAGACAGGGACATTTTGATATAGCATCAAGAATTAAAATATCAAATACAACCACAGCACATAAGGGAGTTAGAAATCAAATGAGTCAAGTCTGGCTCTCATGTTGAATATAGATGTTGAAGCAGTGTGTCATCTTGGAAAGAGCATGAATTTTGAGATTAGACAAATGTGATCTGAATCCAAACTTCTTCGCTTAACTTGTGAGAACTGTGGCAAGTTATCTGACTTCTTACCCTTACTTTCCTCACCTCAAATTGGAGATAATGCCAACTTTGTAGTGTGGTGCTGAGAATTAGCAATAATCTTTATGGTAGCTCACAATGCAAGGTATCTTTTACCATTACCTTCATAGTAAAGTACAATTTTAAACTGAGCAACACTTTGATTTCTCATACAGTATGTATGCTTTTGCTCTTTGAGACAAGAATCAGACCTGTATTTCTTAAATTTGTCTTTCTGTCTTGAAGCCATCATTCTTATCTGTTTAAAAATATTTGGACTCAGGCTGCATGTGGTGGCTCGTGCTTATAATTCTAACACTCGGGAGGCTGAGGTGGGAGGTGGGAGGATCGCTCGAGCTCAGGAGTTTGAGACCAGCCAAAGCAAGAGCGAGACCCTGTCTCTACCAAAAACAGAAAAAATTAGCCAAGTGTGGTGGTGGGCACCTGTAGTCCCAGCTACTCGGGAGGCTGAGGCAGGAAAATCGCTTAAGCCCAGTAGTTTGAAGTTGCTGTGAGCTATGATGATACCGCTGCACTCTAGCCCAGGTGACAGAGTGAGACTCTGTCTCCAAAAAATTAAAAAAAAAAATTAGACCCAAATTCTGTCGTATTGTACAATTGCTATTTTGCCCCACTTAATGACATCAATAAATTAAAAATCATTAATTTTATACCTTTATTGATAAAAATGACAAATAGGAGAAAGCCAGGGCAAGCCCTATGTCAAGCCACTATAATCCATGTGAAGTTCATATCAATCCACTGAACCAGTAACATGTTGTCTAAATGTTCATTCTAATGCATGATAATTCTTCACAACCACTTGAATACCATTAGCTATTTATCAGCTTTGCCAAAATCCAGGTAAACCATTTAGTCTATTTCCTGTCCTGCTATTCTCAGTATACTAT